TCCATAAAACCTTTTTAGAGTGTATGCTGTTGATTGCAGATGACTATACACCTTCACCAAGATTGTGGACAACGAAATCCTATAAGGACCTCAAGCCGAGAAATGGTGAGTGCCTCTAGAGGTATTCGATAAAAGTAGTCCAACGACTCCTAAAGAAATAATTCATTAGTGGGGCATGATTTTTTTCATTAAAATCTGAGAATTTTTCATTAACGTATGTCTTATGGCAATGATGTTCCTTCTTCTCAAACATCCTTTATCATCAGTCTATGTACATATTAAGTAGGTAATTACATACAAATTATCTATTTAATATTTACAAACTTAAATAAAACTAGTTTTAACGGGTTAATGCACGAAACTTTATTTATTTATTGACGTTTCGCAGCCTCTCTTGAGTTTGTTTCGTCGGTTCTTCTCAGAAAGGTCTCCTATTTTTTGAACAGGTGGTAATAAGTTCAAAATTACAAAAGAGAATTTTAAATAAAGTACTTTATTAACTAATAAATTCATACATAGACAATAAAACTTTAAAAATCTAACAATGAAATAACCGAACGCTTAATAAAAGTCTTTCGAAGGTAGTTCGACAAAATTAAATAAAAATCACTCTGACATAGCAAACCTGAAAAGGCTGCGGAACGTCAATAAATAAATAAAGTTTCGTGCATTAACCCGTTAAAACTAGTTTTATTTAATGAGTGATGTGCGTGAAAACCTAAGAAACAAATATTTACAAACTTTTAAAAACATGTACTAATTACTTGACTCATGAGTGATTTCGACTTCAACCGCTTATAAAATAGACCAATCACTCAGCATAAGTCGTCTCACCGGGCGGCTGTAAGAAATGTGTCGAAACCGGGATAGGTGTTAAATAATACATTGACATTGTAATACATAATTTAAAAGACATTTACCCAGAGTCAGCCTTTTTGCTCTGTATTATAAATAAAATAGGATACACTTGGATACGCTTGTGGAAGTTCAGATCAACCCTAGGCCTCCCAAATTACTTCCTCTGTTTTTGCTAGACTGAAAATGTATTATGATTATTTTCTGGTAAAAGTGAAGAGCTAATTGGATATACATGGTACTATAGCAAATGCATCACAATAAAGAAGCAGACAATTAATGTAAATATAATTAATATTATATCAATTGATTTACTAGCAGGTTATCTATTAATCACTTATTATGCAATTAAATCATTTCAAAGAAGATTGCTTTACTAAATAAACTCATCAAATGAGTCTAAGCAACATGAACTTTTTTTTTATATTATTTTTAATACTTATATTCTTTTGTTAACAATAACCATGTCGATTAATTAGTGACTTAAGCAAGAAAACGTTTGAATAAATGATACATTTCATAACGATAGCATAAAATATTTACTGATTCAACTTGCAGTTTGCGCAAATGACGCATGTTGTCTAAACTACATACTCTGATTTATGTATATCAAAAAAGTCAAGAAAGAATCATATTTTATTCATTAATAGAAATAACTTGCAGCATGGTAGAGGTATCGCAGCTGACCTCGTCCCGAATGAAGAGATTAAAATTATAAAAGCGCTCGGGACCAGTCGAACGTCATTCCCAATTATCTACGCACCTCAACCGACCACTCTTAATTAAATAATCAAAAGCTCGAGGCATGCCCTTAATACACCGTCTGTGATGACGTATACGTGGCCTAGTTTATTGCACACAAATATTTCATTGCCATATTTAAAAAAAACTTCACTTATCAGTATTAAATGGTATTCGCGATCTGAAATTCTTGATTATTATCGTGGCCGCTGCATAAAGGCAAGTTTACTTTCCAACGTGTTCAAACAACGCAATCTTCGCTCACTATGGATCATACGCATGACGGACTACGAAAAGCAGTGCATAACTGTAAATTTTGTCGCTAAGAAATACTTGTGCATTTATCGGCCCTAACACCATTGTGTTGGGATTAGATGGACATATCGCCATTGAAGAGGCAGGTAAGTGAACACATTCAAGGCGCAAGTACAGATTTTTTAGCCAAATCCTTATACGGATAATTGGCAACATTCGCTTTGGCCGGGAATAATAACAAATCTTCTTTGTAATGTACCCGATGCAAACATCTTGACTTTTGTTTAGGTAAATATTTTTTTAAGTTTGTCCGTGAATAAAGCAAATATTTATTTACCTATAATTCAATGCACAAAAGTAGCTTACAGCTTAAAAAAGTTCTTTTTGATAACAACAAAAAATATCGCACACATTCTTTAACCTAAACTAACCATACATACTAAGGCACTTTAACTCAATTTTACAACCCATATACTACATTTATAATGCCACTCGCAAAAAGATTCCAAGAAATATAACGACACTAGTGTAACAGTTATAAATAACTATTGCCAGGCGCGTCACCTTGGTGGTAGTTAAGACTACTTAGTATAGTTATTTTCCAAACCACTGACTTTTATTTAACAAAGTGACCATACTTGAAACTCGCAATGTGCGAATTTAAATATCCCTGTCCCTAATTATCCTTGGTTGGCAATAGTTGTGATTCTCTTTATTCTCGGTCTCAACTCCTTAAAGAGTTGGAAAGTATGTTTTTTAAATCCTATGGACATTGTCGATGGTTTTTGTCAAGTAGCAGTTTGCTCACAAAGGGTTGCTTTTTCGTTGACTGGACCTCAAAGGTGTATGCGCTCAATTATTTGTTTATTATTTGGGATTATTAAGCCTGTAATAGAGAGAGGTAGTTGCTCCTTGCAACTTCTCAGTACAACCGTCTGTGGGTGGTAAAGTATTTACTTTGAAGATGTTGTGTAATTTGCTTGTTTGTACACTATTGTACTCGAACAATCAGTAAGTAATATAATAATTAAAATGACTCACAGAATTAGGCAACTATGTAATTGATTATACAAAAGCATAAATAAGTCATCGGAATGAGTTAAAAGTGAAATATTTTATAATATTTGCAACTAATACTCTTCTTCAGGCGAGTAACAAAAGAAAAAGGCAATAACCAGTCAGATTCCTGATGAACCGACGCGTGTGATGCGATATGCATAATATCACATTATTTAACATAATTAATTAGTCGAGCTCCCCTCAACAGACAGATTGACAAAACAAAAAGCAAAGTATTTTACGTCTTCATGCTGGTATCGACAGCTTCATCGGTTTAAGCAAACATTAATAATGGGCAGTGACGTTTGATTTCCGTTCGAAGGTTAGATACAGCGTGTTTCGTTCCGTTTGCTCGCAGATGGCATTGCATGCTCCGCAAGATAACGCTTTGTAACGTTTTCAAGTAAATAAAATAGTAAATCGACATAATATACTGTATGGTTGGTTTAATTCAACATACACTCGCAGACCAAACTGATAATGAAAGCATTTGCAAAATGATAAATAAATAGTGCCATACCGTTGAGTTTTCTTTTTGTTAACGGACATGAGTCATTTACCAATACATATATTAAAACAATCTTTAAATATGATAATATTTTTTCCTCATTTAAATAATGAGTCTTATCTAACATTAATCTGTACAGGTGTAAATTATGAAAATATATTATTATTATTTATGAAGACACTTCTGAAAATTGAAAAGCCTCTGTAGCAGTATTGAACCTGCTTAATCAAACAATATGAAGGAAAGATTCTATAAAGGTACACCAGGTGGCTTTATAAATATAGACAAGGAATGTCGAAAAATTACTTGAAATGGATAAAATTGTGTTGTAAAAATGTTAAATTGTTTCAATTGCCCTTAACTTGTAAATTAAAAGTCATCTAACTTAGTGGGACAGCACACTGTTTTTTTATAAATAGAGGTCGTATTAAAGTTAACATCGGCCTCAAGGATTACATTAAGCTGTAAAAGCTTTGTTTAATGGCTAGTAATTGGTCCGAATAACATAATTTTTATTGGCATTGTCTCGGCTAACTAACGGCTGGAACTACTACTGAAACTCGAATGGTATTCGTTTCGAGCTTCTGTTGCCACTCTTAAATAAATAATTGTCTACATTTGAATTTTACGTTAATATGCACGTGACTAATAAAACATTGCTTTAACATTTTCCTGAACATTTGCTTCTTCCTAATAAAAAATATTATTTTTATGGAAGTTTCCATTCCTAGAAGAAATTTTTACTGGGCGAAATGCCCATTCTTATAAAAAAGCTACATAATTATAAAAATAAATTAAAAAATTAGCTAACAAAATTTAATTTCTCTAGTTTTTTTTTATATCCTCATTAATTATACAAAAATATTCGACTGAAGTATCTATAGGTAGAATACGATTTCCAATCGAGTAATTAACCTATGGTAGAGGAGTTCATACCTCAGGGTCAATAAATAAATAAATCTGAACGCTGCCGTTTTTTCAATTTTTTTTCGTCAATAACGCCATAATTATGTGAGTTGGCAACGAAAACAAACCACAATCTTGTGGCCGGCCGTAATGGTTTATTGGCCATTATAGGCGTCATAGTAATAACACGGCACGACCTCTCCACTCGAAATATAGTGCGGTCGTGTTAATCACTAATTTAATGATTATTAGCTGTTTAAGTTTGAGCTTCAATTTAAAAGCCTTCTTTGGCCGTTGATTTAAGTTAATTGTTTATCCTTTTGAGTCACTATAAAGAATTTTTGGTCGGAAATTATTAGCAAATGGGTGATTTTACATGATAATTTGTAGGTAGGTGTCTAATAAACAAGCTCAGGTTCTAGTTTTTTAATGTATGTGACTTGATGGTACCATTCTCTAAAATGTCTTAGTTGTCATAGAAAAAGTAGCTAAAGTTGACCACGGCAGAAACAAAATATTTTTTCAATCTATCCTTTAGTAAATGACGAAAACTTACCTTTCGATCTGTTGTACATCTATAGCATGGGCGACTGAATAAATAGGAATTAGAATATGATCAAGATCTCAAGACGAAAGTCTTTAATACGTGTGTTATGCCAGTGATGACGTATAGATGCTAGGCGTGACCGCTCACAATGGTCCTCATAAGAAGGCTCAACTCAAAGTCATCCAAACGGCAATGGAGATCAGGGTCGAGATTACTCTGCGTGATCGAATCAGAAATCATGAGATCTGCAGGATAACTAAGGTCGCCAACATATCCCAAAGAATTGCGAACCTTAAATAGCAGGACAAAGGACAGGGCACATTGCAAGGAGGATTGACGGCCGTTGGAGTGGAAACGTCCTCGAGTGGCAGCCGCGTATCGGGAGACGAGCGTTGGTAGTCCCCCACAAGATGGTCCGACGATCTGGTAAAGGTCGCAAGAAGCTGTTGGATACGGGTAGCGCAGAACTGATCGGTTTGGAACTCCTTGGGGGAGGCCTATGTCCAGCAGTAGGCTTACGACTGATATGATGATGAATTTGAGATGGGAATATTGAAATCAAAATTAACGGACTCACAAAAAGACAATTTGAGGACATAAGTACTTTTTAAGCCTTATTTTATAAAAAAGGGTGAAAATCCAAGCATTTTCACTAGATAAGCACATAAGTTAAATTCCAGAATGAAAATCTCTGCAACCCAACGCCCCCTGTACATAAACAAGGAGACGTGACATTTCAAATATTATGAGATGGCCAGTATAAAGGTGAAATTCATTTAGTGGGCGCTCCTTCAGTTGCTGGCCGAAACGTGTCGTGTACGATCTTTCACGAGCCAATGGCTTGACGCGGCTTAAGGCCCGGCACACATGGGCCTTATCTACCAATGATTATTGGATACTTGTGAGAACTGCTGAGTTATTTATCGACGCAGCGTAGGACTAAAAACTACGACATATTATTTACTCTTCATTAGTAGGAATGAAAAGCTTAACAAAATCTTTGAAAATCCTTTGATCAAGATAGCGTTCAATACTTGTTACGAATTAAACTGAATAGCAAACAAACCGAGTCACTTGCTACCTTGGTTCTTTGATTAAATTTGCTTAAAAAGTATAAAATTTAATGATGATTAAAAAACAGAATACTATTTAGATTAATCGATTTATAAAGCTTTTATTAAGAATTTTTCAAAATTAAAATGGAAGGTGGAAGTTTGTATGGGAAACTTTTTATACTACTTATATACATTATATTACCTACAACAAAACTTATAAAATAAAGCGAAGCGAGGGCGGGGCCACTTGTACAGTTATAATCCTAAAGTCATCAAAAAATTTAGTCACTACGATTTCCCAAGTAAAGCAATTTATATTTTCCCAGGTAGATACATGTAGTTTACTCGCCCAAATACGTAACTTGCAGTGTGGCTAAAAATATGAAAAATATGATAGTTTGGAATACGTCTGTTTAAGTGTTTATTAATATCAGTCACTAAGTAAGTAGCATGGCTCCTAACACCAAGTCAGACTCCTAATAGTGTTGCCTTAACTTAAATCTATCAGTTAGACTAGAGGAAAGGGGGCATTTATTAAGAAGGAAAGTTAAAAGATAGAATTTATTATGTTTTTTGGTGATAGGAAAAAAATAAGGAAGATCCAAAAAAGCTTTTAATAAGTCAACTTAAATTAAGTTTATTTTCATTCGTTCGTACATTTTCCTTTGCTCTCTGCCCTACATATAAAATATCGCAATTTAATTACTTTAAGAAGAGCTTACGTCGGTCTGGTCCAATTACAATTAAGTAAATTAAATATTAGTAATACTATTATTACTCTTTTATAATAGTGATAATAACACTATCGATAGACAGAAGAATCCAAAGTACATTATTTTTTTCATCTACTATTTCTTTAACTGCGTATCGTTATACTTGTAAACTTGTTAATTAATTATCAATCAATGTTTTGCCTAATAACACATGAGTAAAGAAACGTACAGTCCGTCGTACTAATAAATTCTCGTAGCTATCCCACCAATGCCCTCTTTGGGAACAACTGTTCTCAAACTATGTATTATAGCAGAGCGCCATCTATGAGAACAATATACACCATTTGCTCGGTGCTTTTAAAGCCGCTTGCGTGCTTTTGAAAAAGCACTTCAACACGTGGAGCTTCGAAGTTGCAGGGGACAAGCTTCTCATATATTTTTATAGATGGCGCTGCTTTAGTGATGTTACCTTCTTTTTGAGACCTGACTCTTGAACCTACTGAGTCCCGAGCTTCTCCGTGCTTCAGGAGGCACGTTAAGCCGTTGATCGCCGCTGCATCTGCAGCTGTTAACCTTATTAATGTCGTCGTCGTTAGCACCGAAAAGACCAAACGAGAGTACGAAATTTACAATACCCGATAATCATCAAACTCCCACTTAATAGAGTTAAAAATAATTATTAAGTAGATATCTAAAGAAAAACGTTTATTTTATAGTTTTTTCCCCAATTTAAAAGCAAAAGTACTGTATTTTAATGTGTATTTACATGAAACTTTTCTTATACTTACTTACTACGACATCTCAATCACACGCTAAACTAGGAGCGAAAGAAAAATATAGATTACGCCAACTAGTGGTTATGGGGTTGCGAGAAATGAATGATCATCACAGACAGACATCACATCACGTGATTAATAGTTCATCTGTCTTTGAGCTGCGGCTACTTGTGGTAATCATGTTTGTTAACTTAACTGGTTGACTTGAAATTTAGTGCACATGCGCTGAAAGACGATTGCGTAAAGTAGGTAAAAGTCGGTATAAATGAATATAATAAACTTATTATTATTATTCAAAAACAACTTTTGTAAAAATATATTATTGAAAACACTCGTCCTAATTTAAATATATTGTAAACTAGCGGTTGCCCGCGACTTCGTTTGCGTTTACTTTAGTTTTTTGACAATCGCACAGAAACTAACATTTCACCTAGCTATACTTAACTTTTATTAATTAATAATATTAATGTGATGAAAGTTGACATCAACACATGTTTTCAATTTTTGATGTCATCTTTCAATTATTGACGACTCTGTATGAAACAAAACAGCGAGAAAAAAAAATAGCCCTTGCTGAGTTTCTTGCCGGTTCTTCTCAGTACAAGGTCTCCCGCCGTAGATTAACGACCGATGGCGTAGCGTTTGACTTTCACAAGAGCTTGTAACTGCGTAGACTGAATAAATAAAAGTTTGAGTTCACCGGGACCAACATTTTGCCGGGTTATTCTATGTTTGTCTCAATCCAGGTCATAAGCTATATGCGTTCCAATTTTCCTAATCCGTTCAGTAGTTTTTCTGTGATTGAGTAACAAACATACAAACTTTCACATTTTTTATATTAAGTAGGATATTATAATTTTGACTAAATATTTTTTAACATATTTAAGAAATCATAAAAAAAATATCACTTTTTTACGAATCTACTAAGCTGGTTCGGAGGACTTTTGTTATAAACACTGTGACAAGAGAATTTTATTAACCTATTTAAGATTTTATGTATTTTCGACATATAAACAAAACTTACAAACTTACTTTTTAACAAACACTTTTAGTGTTTCTAACAAAAGTCCTCCGAAACAGTTTGACCGATTCTGATGAAATTTTGTGTGTATATTAAGTAGGTCTGTGAATACGTCGTAAACTATTTTTCATACCCCTAAGCGATAATAACCCAAAAAAATATTATTATATTACTGTGTTTTTTTGTTTTTTTTAAGGTTCGGCATTAAAAATTCATACAAATTAACCTTCAATTATCACTCTTCTACCACCAACCCCTTTATTTATGGCGGCACGCAGTTTTCTGGGTCAGTAGTAGTATCAAATATAATAATGTAAGATGGGATATTCCTACACTGAAGTAACGCCGAACAAACTTGTAAGTAATATATTATTATTAATAAATATGGCCCAGGGTTACGGATTAACAACAACTTATTATTTTACTCTCCGGCTGCACAATTGATGCTCTGCCTACTCCGGAAGAGATATGATGTGAAAGTATACCAACTATTAAACATGTATAACATCCAATTAGTAATGAGTTACTTATACTTAGAATAATTCACGGCACAATATCTGTTATTTAACAGTGTCTGTATTATGTAGTAAAGAGCGCAAAATTTATTGCACATTTTACAATTTTATCTCTTGTTAAGTAACATCACCTGTACAGCCACTGGAATGAACTTTGCTATGAATCATGACAATTCTTATAACCTTATTTACATACATACTGGTCGACCTCCTCAACGCACGTATCACACTGAACATAGCAACAGTTCACCATTTTACATCTGCACCTAGATTTCACTGTTCTCTTAGTTGTGACAAATCCCCTTCCACAGCACAAACTTGCACAGTTATGTCTGTCTTTGCACACCCTACCCCTCGTACTAACACACAAATTTGGTGTTTTCTGCAAAAACACCAACTCCTTCCTGTTAACCTTCAGTCTCTTCCTAATCTTCGGCGAGATCGCCCTTTTCGTTGTGTAATTTATAATCTTCTTTTTTATCGCGTGATGGTAATGCTTCTTCAGTGAACCCATAGCTGATTGGAACGGTCCCAATCTCTTCCAGCAAGTCTTCGTCGTACACGATCCTGAGAAACCGTGACATTTGCATACCTCCTTCATTTGTTCCCCGATAGAATCTATTCCGACCAAAACATCCTGTTTTAGTATATCAGCTATTTGATCGTTTCCGGCGTGTTTGAAGTCGAGAAAGTTTTTGGCGACTCTCTGGCCTTGCTTGAAATCATCGCCACAGCCGTTGTTCTTCCAAGTGAAGTTTGCGTTCTTACCGAAGCTTCCGACACATGTACACTTAGTCAGATCACCGGACGCGCATGCTTTTGCCACTGCGTGTGCTATAGACGCTGCAATGAGAGCGTTCACAAATGCAGTCTCTCTATAGATCTTATTGAATATCTTTTTCTTCGGGTTTCCGTTGAAGACGACTGAGCAATTCCATCTGTCGTATTTGAAAGTCTCCTCGCAAGCGTTTATCGCTTGACCTTTAGCGGTTTCCAGAACGTTCGCTAGTCCAGAGTTCCGTTTGCATATTTTGGATTGTCGACGAGATGCTGGTAAGATTTTGCATGCCCCAGGATGTATGACTGGAGATCGCTGCGTGAATAATTCTTCAACAGTCTTCTGAAGAACTGGTTGAGATCTGAGGATGATATAACATATGAATTATTTTCTATTTATTAATTAATTTTAGTGATCGATTAATCAAGGGCAAAATTAGGATAACAATCTTTTGAAGATCTTTTAAGCCGTTGCTTACGGCTACATTTGCGGTTGGTAGCACCCACACGTGACACACGTTGTGGTCATGATTCGTTATCGATGTCACAGCACAGCGAGTCATGCAAAGGATAGGCTTTGCCCTAACAGCGCAGCAGTCCAATTACTATGATGATGTTCATTTGTATGCTTACCCTTCGACATTTTTAGATGCAAATATGGAAACCGAATACAACAACAGGACGGTGACAACACCACAACTAAACATAATTGTGTCTCACACTAACATAACTAATTGTAATTGTTTCACACATGACTCTCACAGCAATAATGTCATCGTTGAATGCAGTTTCAAAATGGACTAGGTTTTGTGGAGACAAAGGCGCAGTTGCTAGGTTATCAGAAAGGGTGTGAACGGACAAAAATGGTTATGGTAAACTTACCAATCAGTACTTACACATGACGCGTTACGTTAAACAAACGTTGAGTCAAACAAAAACGTGTTTTAAGATTTCTTAAAAAATATTCATATTTTGGATTTTACTAAATAACATTATTATTTACATTCCCATATATATATGGCATGCATGACTTTATAAAGTATAGGTTACTTTTGTCTACGGTTATTTTTAATGTTACGCAATTATTATCCTAGATATACCTGTAAGGATGTGATTTTGGTTCTCAAAAGCTACCGAGTGCTAGGGCAAATCATGGATAAAAATTTACAGCGTATCGAGTTGAAATTTAAACCATATATTCAGGTCTGCGCTCCCTTGAAGCTGTGAAAAAAGTTAATATAAAAAAAAAGGTACGGCGGTTTTCTGTCGGTCTGCCAAAACTCTTTATCTCGGAAGCGCGTGGAGGCATCGAGTTGAAATTTAAACCAAATTATACTCAAGTCTACGGACAGTCTTAGTTAACATAAAAATGGGTGCGTGTACTTATGTAGGCGCGTGAGAAGTTATCCTTCTTTGGCATCGTTTAAAATTAGTTTTTAATTGCATGCAAATAATTAATTACAATAAATTAATAAAAAGTCTGGAAAAGGACACAGTCAATAAAGTTCAGTTTTAATTTGAAAAAATAAATAAATAATCAAAATATTCAATTAAAATCGCTACTGAATATAATTTATTAGAACATATGTGATTTGCACTTGTATGAAACTCAAACACGTATTCCGAATATACAAACTAGAAACATGTGGATAAATATTATAAACTAGCGGCCCGCCCTCGCTTCGCTTCGGTGTAGAGCTGAAGTGTAGACTACAGTTTTTGTTCTCAGGCTTGTATTATACACAATGACATTCATCTATGATTCTTCTTATACCTGCATGCAAAGTCTCAGCCCGATCGGTTTAAAATTGATAAAGTTTCATACAAACTTTCATTCCTTATTTTATCCCCTTGGGATTTTCTTTATATTTTTTTCCGTAAGAACCTTATACAGAGTATTAGAAAACTACAAAAAAAAAACAGCCAAATCGGTCAAGCCGTTTTCATGTTATGTCGTGACAACGGAAAACGGGTTTCATTTTTATATATATAGATATGAAAACAGTCTCTGTTCTAAATTCAAAACTCGTAACTTTTCCCGATGTTTGTTGTACGTGTTTCCCGCGCTAGGACCGCGAGTGGCCGCGCATGCGTACGGTGCGGCGGGCGACGCGGTAATGGCAGCGCGGCACATGAAGTTGGTCGCTAAAGCGACCAACTTCATGGTGTTAATTTTTTGTGTTACAGATGCGCGCGCATCTTAAAATTTCACCCTCATAATTTTTTTATAACGCGCCTAAAGAAGTATAACTTCAAAAAAAGATATGGCCTTAATGTTGCGTACCTACAAATTTATACGGAACCCTCAATGTGCCTGACTCGCACTTGTCCGGTTTTTTTCCTCCCAGGCGGCAGATCGGCTGTGAAGTCGGTGTAGAATCTGATATTACCTCTTATTGACTAAAACATACCCGTGGGAGGACGTCTCTGGCCATAATGGCCTCTAAGGCTTCATCTGATGCGATCGTCCCAGAGAAAGGGACAAAGTAGGCTGACCGGAACAAAGTGATCCTAAAAATAAAGATTCTGTTTTTTTCTAAATAAATAGAAATTTTCAGGGTAACTTTTTTCGTTCTTTCGAACCTCAAAAGAAAAAGACATCCTAAAATTTAGTAAAAAATCGTGTTATTCATTAATACAGAGCATGAGGTACTTGTACAACTAATTCATTAGCTCGTCTTTATTATGTTCCTGTCTACGTTTATAAGTATAAATATGTAGTCTGATTTTTAATAATTGCAAGAAAACATCAGAAAACCTTTACCAATTTTCAGGGGTCTTTCTAAAGAAATAATAAAGTCCTTTATTGTTGGAAGACTGTAGTTTTATTATCACTGAACACGGGATATTACACAACCCGTATACAACTTATCCTAGATACAAAATGTATATGTGCGAACTAAGGGGACTACGGAGGGCGACTGGCTCGTTCACTCGTCGTCGCACCACAAGTGTATTAAATGCTAAGTATTGTCATACTGTGTCCCTACAAATTTATGGTACCTTTTCCAAATATTGATTTATGATATCCAAGAGACAGCTATTTTATCTAGCTTTTAACGTTTTCTTACTACCGCTTTTAAGATCCTCTTTAAAAGGCAGGTAACTGAATTTGCTTTCAGATGTCCCCGCCATAGTCCTTTTTAGGGTTCCTTATCCTCAAAGGGTAAAAATAATAATAATAATAATAAGATTTATTGGCCAAAAAAATCAGTACAGTAAGATTACGTAACAAACTTAGCACTAGTTACAGAAATTATAATTTATTAGCCTCTGCTGCTGAACTAGGCAATGCCTGTATTTCAGCATTCAGCGCCATAAACCCCCACAGACATGAGAATACTAAACTAGACTAATAAATATCTCATAAATGAAAAGATCAGTAGGTCATTTTAAAAGCAAGGCATCTATAAGTATAATATTTGAATTAATATGTAATGTATGAAAATGATGTGTGGGTGTATGTGTGTGTGTGTGTGTGTGTGTGTGTGTGTGTGTGTGTGTGTGTTTGTGTTTAAGTGCGGATTTATTTAGTATTTGTAGCATACGTGTATGTATCTGTTTGAATTATTCAAGTTAGTATATTTATAAAATTTTCGGTTTCTTCATAAGACATTGCTTGAAGCCACCTATAGATAACTTCTTTACATACTAACCTGGGTAATGGGTAAATATTCAACAGTTTATTAATTTGATTGTATAAATAGGGTCCTAAAAATTTAAAAAACCTGTGACTGAATTTCGTACGTGTCCTCTGTGTACGACATACTGCATATTTTCGCCGAGAAGAAAGAATTGTGCTACTCGCGTCAAAGGTAAGCAAGGCATGTTGCCTGAGAACTATATTTAGTAAAAACAGTTGTCGTACTGTAAGTACATCGCAAACTTGAAACAAGTCAAAAGTTGAATACAGGAACGGTTTAAACATGCAAATTTTCAGTATTGCTCTTTGAGCTACTTCTAGTTTTAATATTTTTGTTTTAGCTGCACCACCCCAACTAGCGATACAGTAACACAATAACGATTGACAGAGCGCATAGTACACCTGCTTATGACGATGAGGTTCCAGAACATGACGTATATTCTTAAAAATAGGCATCAACTTACGAATTCTTGCCGATAATTGATCAATGTATTTGTAAAAGTTGAGATTTTCATCAATGATAATACCAAGGTATTTAATAGATTGAACAGATTCCATGGCTAAACAGGAACAGCAACTTTCATGGTTAACATTATTGTCAGTCAAGGAAGTATGGAATCTATTTTTTAAGTTAGTATTACAATTTTGGTGATTTTTATCGAAAATTTGATATATTTAGATTTATCTACATTTAGCGAAAGTCTATTAATTGTGAGCCATTTCTGAACAGCATTCATACCATCCTGGGCATCACGAAAAGCACTATCCCAATCATGTGCACTAAAAAGAAGAACTGTATCATCTGCGTAGGAAGTTATTTTACCATTGGGAAGCTCCAGATGCAAAAGATCATTGATGTAGATAAGGAAAAGGGTTGGGCCTAAAATACTTCCCTGTGGAACTCCATACTGTAATTTTAATTTATCGCTTATGCAAGAATTAACTTTGACACATTGATATCTATTTGATAGATAATCTGAAAAAAATTTAAGCTGTTTAAAAAAAGGAGCCTTATTACTAAGAATAAGCTATCCATCTATATGTCAGCGGAATACATCTGTTGCTGTATCAAATCATAATAAAAACCAAATGAAGAACAAAATAGAGTCGATTATACGGCGGTTTTTGTTCGAACTTCACAATATCCTCCATTGTGGACCGTTGTTCTGTAGGATTCGTTACTTGTTGATATAAATCCGTAACCGTAAACGTCCACATCGATTGATGCAGATACGGATGTGGATGAAGATGTCTGAATCAATACGAGTATAAGTCGCGGCACGAAACTCTAGCGCTGACCGTGCGCAGAAATAAAAATTAAGATGTCTTGGGGGGAAACGAGGTGCGCGGGTGGGCGTACGTTGCGCCGATTGGCTCTCCAGTCGTACCCATGAGCAGCTATCCCTTCCGCGTTTTGTTCAGCGTTAGAGTTACGTGCCGCGTGCTGTACCTACACCGGTTTTACAAATGTCGCCTCCCCAGAAGTTCTAGGTTTGAATCCCAATGGGGCAAATATATGTATAATGAATACGTGCAGTTTGACGACCTCCGTGGCCGAGTGGTTTGTACGCCGGGTTTCATGGTGTCGCCGACTCGAGAGGTCCTGGGTTCGAATCCCAGTGGGGGCAGATGTTTGTGTGATGAATACGAGCATTTGTACTCCAATCATGAATGTTTAATATGAATTTTCTATATGAATATACTTATATATGTACAGAATATGTATTCTATCCGTTACCCTAGCATCCCATAACACAAGCCTTACAGTGCTTACTTTGGGGCTAGGCTAATTGGTGTGAGTGCTGCAAATATTTAATATTTATTTATTATTTTATTTAGTTTTACCTAAATCATAGCTGTTAGCATAATTATATATACATGAAAATATAAGTTATTTTAGCATCATTTTAGTATTTCTATCCGTTACCATAGTGTCCCACAATATGAGATTTGCATGGTTATATTATAACAATTATGCCATTTAAAGTCTTACAGTACTTACTTTGGTGCTCATTTAATAGGTGTGAGTGTGTGTAAGAATATTTATCAACAATCACTTAAGTC